ACTGATATCGAAGGAACTACACACAGTTCCGAAATATCACATACTCGAACCGACCTGACCGCGTAGCTCAGTTGGCAGAGCATTGGGCTAGTATTCCAAAGGTCGTGGGTTCGAATCCCACCGTGGCCAGGCATATTTTTCAAGCCTGCCCGGTGTGGATATACACACAGAGTAACATGATCACAAACATCATATTCACCTGAGTATATTACACCAAATACAGAAAGAAAAAATGGTACTTGACCAGACAGGTTGAAGTTGGCAGCATGCTGATGTTCTGGTGACTATTGTGATAGTACCGACACCAGATGACTATCACATTCGAGAATACTGAGGGAAAACAATAATGTATAGTACAACACTGTTCCTTAACGATGGCAATAGCAGCTTTCTGAGCACCGGTGTTTCTGTAGCAATCGTAACATGCATATACATCTGCTAGCAGTCGCCAGTCTGTACTGTGTATCTGTATGTGAGTACAATGATGCAATCAACCAGCTGAGCAATGCTAATGATACTGGTCAGTAGGAAATAGGAATACGAAGCTGATTTGTATAGGTAATAGCATGGTTTCGAGTGCAATTTGGATATAACATGCACGAGTCAGTTTTTCAAAGACTCTCAAAATAGCACGAGCCGAAGGACGAGTGCTATTTGAGGTCTTTCAAAAATTCACGATGCATGTTTATCCAAAAATTCACAAACATGCATGTTTATCCAAATTTCACGAGAAAACATGCTATTACTTATATTAATAATTTACATAAAAGTATTCGAGACAATCAAATTTGAACTTGACGAATTGTGGGAATCTTTTCGCACCGCTAAATGCGACCATGTTTGTTTTGAAAAAAGAATATTTTTAAATTTTTCCCGCCAAAACTTAGCTCAATTTTGATTGGTTCGTAGTGATTACAGATTTTTGCACTGTTGTTTTGGATTAACTGCACTGAAATCAACCAATCACAGACGAGTAATACGTTTATGTGTAATATTATGAATGAAATAATTTATGTATTTTGCAATTTGAGAAAGCCATATAAATTCACAATATTTTGAGGGAGGTTTCAGAACTCGAAATTCCCCCCAGGGGAAGGTCGAAAACTCTTCACAACTCCGAAGTCCGACCTGAGTATCAGAAAGTTCGTCTTCATCGCTAATTGTCTTTTTTGCCATTACCAGCAACACAGTACAATACAATGCACTTTTATTGACTAAAAAAGGAATAACAGATGAATTTCATTAGATTTTGAATCATATAATTTGGCACAATACAATTTGGTCACCTCAAAAACCATAAGGCTTGTCGAAGCTAGGAACTCGGTTGCATTAATATATATTTTCTTTTTAATTTAGTGGCTGTCGAAAAATGAACCAAAGGTTGATAATTTGTATAACATTTTTTCTTACAGTTGTATTTGGATGCTACTGAACTAGCTAAAGAAACGTCGGACAACACTGAGATGTTTCTCCCTAAGTAAGTGAATATTTGCTGAATTAATGATTTCAATCATTAAAATGTTTAACATATTTAAAAATATGTCCATGATTAGTCCGATTGCCAACTGCTCAATTTTTATTGTGTGAAATTTTTACAGGAACGATAGATACGATTCCTTACGAATATGTATTGGGGAAACGTTATTTCAAAAACTGAAGGATGTACAATTATTTATGGTAGGTTTTGTGTCTATGATGTGTTAGTACTTGCCAGTCTTGTTGTGATTTGTGAGACAATATCGACATAATCAATTTTCATTTGTATTTGCATTTGCATTTGTTTCTAAAATAAAACCGGAATAGTAGATTTTGAAATCGTCTGAAAATCCAATATTTCTTTATGTCTCTGAGAGCATATGTTCACAGGCTAATATCATTGAAATTTGTGACATAAAGGAATATTGGATCTTCAGATATACGTCTCAAGATTTCTGGACTGAAGTCTCATTTTTTTCACCAAGAATTTATCAAGGCTTGTTCTGTTATGCATTATTACAAGCCCAACAAAAACGCTACTATACGAAATCAAAGTTTTAACAATAACATTATCTTCAGTAATGAACGAATATACTACTATTCATTGACATGTGCAGCCACATTAAATCCTGCCTTTTGTCGTATTGTTTTGAAAGGTTGGATGTGGTGCTATTGGTTGTGAAATGTTGAAAAATTACGCAATGATTGGCATTGGGACAGGTCCCAAAGGCAAAGTGAGTATTAATAATAATAATAATAATATTTATTCAGGAAGCTGCACTCACCGAAGTGTTTTTCAGGGAGGTATATATATATATATATATATATATATATATATATATATATATATATATATATATATATATATATATATATATATATATATATATATATATATTATACATGGTAAACTATACTATGCTTATTTAAAAACTTAAATTTAAAATATTTACAAATGGATTATATATAATTATACTTCATATAGTTAGACAAAAACTCAACTTAATTAGATATTAAATTGTTCAACTTAATTAGATAAATTGTTTTAGTTTGGATTTAAAGAGATTAAGATTAGTAGATTGTTTCAGTTCAATAGGTAATGAGTTCCAATATCATCATTGCAGTTTTTAAAGATATAGGAAGTATATATATCAGGGTTCGTTCAGGTTCGTTTGAAAGTCCTTGAATGTCCTTGAATTTGAAAACAGAAATCCAAGACCTTGAATATCCTTGAATTTGTAAAGAAGTACTAATTAAAAGTCCTTAAATTCTTCTTGCTTTAGTTTATGGATCTTTTCTGAAATTGTTTGACAATCAAAAACGGACATTTTGGTTGAATTGATTTTGCATGTTCATATCTGACAAAGCTGTTTGAAACTCATTAAAGTTGCGTTTTTAACAATCCTACGTCACATTTTACTGATTTGTAACGCCTTCTCTTAAGTATTCAGTCCTTGAATTTGTTGATACATGGTTTTGAATGTCCTTAACAAGTCCTTGAATTTGACTCTTCCTGACATGTACGAACCCTGATATATAGACAAAAACCATCTTACAATTTAGGTACATAGTTATCTTTCTGAGACTTTAATGGACGTTTTAGGGGAACTTTAAGGGAACTTTTTGCCCCTCCAGGCCATAAATTCTTGACCAAACGAAGGATGAGAGTTGAGAAGCGAGAGTTCGCATGAGAGTTTTCTCAATTCACATGGCCCGGTCAAATGAGAACAAGAGTTGCATTAGAGTTGACGAGAGTTGGAGAGATATTACCAATCAAACGAGCAAGAACTCTAGTCAACTCTCATCCAAATTTTAACTAGCTCAGACTCAAACGCGTACGACAGTTGCAACTCTCATGAACTGTCATCCTTGGTTGATCATCCTTGGTTTGCCCGATACAGATAAACAAAAAAGCCATAACAAATATTTTTTATTTAGGTTACAATAACAGACAATGATTTAATTGAGAAATCAAATTTAAATCGTCAGTTCCTGTTTCGACCACGAGACATCCAGGTAAGAATCCCTAAAAAACTGTAAAATATTCCAAAATAATGGGCGTACTATTGTGTATAATAATTATAATTTGTTTATAATTGTTTTAAACTTTGTTTTTCATAGAAATCAAAATCATTAACGGCTTCAAAAGCAATTCTTGAAATTAATTCTGAAATAAAAATTGATCCACACCAACATAAAGGTTTGTGTTATAAGTAAAAAACTCATTAATATAATTCATCAAGAAAATTGAGTGTTTAATAACTTGTAAATCGGATAAAGATTTCTCCTCATTTACATAACATTTAGCTTCGAATTTCGTAGCTAAAACAAAATTAGTTATCAAACATCAAAAAATGTCCGTGAAACTTTCTGCAAAAGTGTAGATCCCTCAAATTTTTCGCATCTGGTTTTTGGTGGAGGGGGGGGGGCAGGAGAAAAATATTTGTTTTCTGTTTGTATGGAAATATGTTTTATTATTTAAATACATTTATTATTTTTGTAGTTTCACCAGAAACGGAAGAGATTATTTACACGGATGACTTTTTCCGATGTAAAAATATCATTGTTAATGCTTTAGATAATGTTGAAGCGAGGCGCTATGTCGATAGGTAAATCAATGTATATTGATAAGCTAAGCTACATTAATTAGCTCTGTCAGTTATACTGTTCAGTGTTCTTCCTAGAGGTCCAGTAAGAGCCATCCCTTATTGGTTTAATTTTCTTACTGGTTCGAGTGTTCGACCTATCAGTTCTAAAGTCTGGTCAGAGCGATTTCTCATTGGTTCAGTATTATCACAAATTGAAACCTAATCTAAACTACGTTTATTTATACTGGGTAGCTCTATCAGTTTCAAACTGTTCTCCCATGAGGTTCAGCAAGGGTAATCTCTTATTGATCCAGTATTATTACAGGAGGAGACCTAATCTAAACTAAGTTTATTTATACTAGATAGCTCTATCAGTTCTAAATATACTGTTCGAACCCTCACCATGTTTTTAATATCCATCTTTCTCTTCTTTCTTTCTAGTCGATGTGTGACAAACCAAGTTCCACTTTTAGAATCTGGAACAATGGGACCCAAGGGCCACATACAGGTTGGCTTTAAAGCAATTGCATGATTTGTGTTTTCTTCTTAAAACTTTATATTCTATTTGATCTGTTTGTATAACGTGAATAAGCTATCCAGAACGTTTCTTCCCATTTACCTCATTCATCATTAAATTTCTTTTCGTGTTAGTGTGTTGTTCCACATCTTACGGAGTCGTATTCAAGTCAGGTATTTTTGCATGTTTTCACAGCCATTTTTATTTAAAAGCAGTGTGCTCTTGAAAGGGAAACGAGTTACCATCCAGACTTATTCCAACGGACCAAACAATGTTGGCTCTACACCATCCAACAATTTTCATATAATGTTTTATACTCTCGCTTTCACAAACATATTTTAAAAACTGAGACCTGATTTTTACAAGCTTTCTTAAATTGCCAGGTGATCTGACGATGAGCAAAAGGACTGGGACTAGCAGCAGAATAGAAATCCAGTTTCGTACCTTTAATCACTTGTCACGCCCTGATTCTTTTGCGAAACTGTTTGAAACTTCGTGTCTGTGTCTTGCACGGGGAAATGAATGTCTGGGACAAATTTGAGATAGAAATCTAAAACCCTTGATGAGATATTGAGTAATTTTAAACCAGAGATGGATTTCTATTCTACAACTAGTGCCAGGCTTTTTCCAAGTTCCGAGATCACCTGGTGGTTGTTGATTCGTAAAACCCAGATAAAACTACAGTATTTATAAACTAAAATTTATTTTTATTACTTGTGAAGTCCATTTCCGTAGTTTTATAACTTTTCAAAAATTTTTTTAAAAGGTTAAAAATATCACTATCCGGTGGATAGCACTATTTTCAAATTACATAAATCTTATCATTTTACCCAAAAGATTCGAAAATTACGCTGTTAAACCAAATATTTCAATACCGTTGCTTGATGTTGGGTCTTGAACAGGCCTTAATAATGGACCTTTAACCTTATAACTAAAATTTTGATCTAGACAAATCTGGACAAAAATTTCATCACAGCTTGAAAGAGCATCACAACATTAGTAATATTCCGAAGTTTCGTTGCGAAATGTTGTAAAATGCGGATAATATAGCCCTGCGAAATTTGCAATTTTCAGTAATTTTGTATTACGCACGGGAAATTGATGCCCCAACACCCGATTGGGCTGTCAATTTCCCATGCGTAATACAAAATGACTGAAAAACGGCAAACTTCACAAGGCTATATTATCCGCATTTTACAACATTTCTTAACGAAACTTTGGAATATTACTAATTTTGTGATGCTCTTTCACGCTGTGATGAAATTTTTGTCTAGATCAAAATTTTAGTTACAAGGGGAAAGGTCATAAAATGAACAAGCTTTCGTAATTGGTACGGATGCAACTACCTAAAAATATATAAGGAGAATTTCGAGACCCTTCGTCTGGAGTTACTAGCCAATATTTCAGAAGTTTTAAAAGATTTTGTTTCTACGACACATTCTAGCGTGACCCCGAAGACCATGATGTCCCTTATTGTACCCTGAAATCCTTCCCTGCTGTTATTGATCACACTATCCAGTGGGCAAGAAATAAGGTCTGTTTAGAGATCAGAATTGCAGTACTTCAATTTTACGTTTTTCTAAAACTTAACATTGTAGAATTTCTTTGGTTTAGTTCGAAAGTTGCTACTCACACAAACCTCAGTTATACAACAAGTTCTGGTCTAACAACAACTCCGTTCCTGATCTTCTACAGGTAATACCAGCCTGGATCTAGGGCTTTTGCGCGGCAGGCGGCTCTTCATTTGCGGGTTAATCCAGACTTCTCGCGTGAAAAAGCGCTGAAATATAAATATAGAAGGCCCTATACACGTAAAAACGCACACGTTGTTACAAGTCGGCAAACAAGTTGTTACAAATCTGTTCAAAAGCTGTCGACAAGTTGTATTCGCACTGATTATTCCCAGTTCTTGTAACAAGTTTGGAACATGTTGTTAACATCTTGTAACAAGCTAGATGGCATTATCAGACTTATTGGATCCAAATTGCACTCAAAACCAACAAGATGTGTTCGCAACAGGCTTGATGTGTTTGCAACAGGCTTGTAGCAAGCTTGTCAACAAGTTGTAACAATGCTGTTATTTATCAACTTGCTACAAGATTATCATTCACAACTTGTTGACAAATTGTTGAATTTCAGGACCATAACAAGTTGTTGGACCATACTAACTTGTGACAAGTCTGTTGTGCTCAGCAACCTTGTAGCAAGTTCTGAACAAGCCATAATTGACAACTTGTCAACATGCTGGGAACAAGCAGTGCGAACACATCCTGTTGGCAAGTTGTTGGAACCAACAACATTGCTACAAGTCTGCTGCAGGTTTGTTACCACTACCATTGAGCTCCCCAGTATTTAACCCTTCCCCCTTAGTATTTAATATCTAAAATAAAAGGGGAGATACTGGTCATTTTCCAGAACAATTTTTTATTTTTGAACATTTTGGTTTTGATTTCCCGCGCTTTCAATCTTTTTGCAGTCGCTGAGAAATGGAGATAAGCCGGACGGTGTTATTTTAGCAGCAAAATCTTTGAGGTCTTGGCCAAAGAACTGGCACGACTGTGTCGCTCGAGCCAGATTGCAGTTTGAAAAATACTATAATCATAAGGTACGTTATTTATATGATGGACTAAAATTGGTCTATAATTCCATATTATTGACAACCAAAATTTATATTCAGCCATTTCCTCTCCTTCAACACTTTCAACTGTTTCTGATGTTTGTACAAGTTGTTACAGGTCTGCAAACAAGTTGTTACAAATCTGTTCTGACTGTTCACAAGCTGTTGACAAGTTGTGTTAGCAATGCTTGTTCCCAGTTGTTGGAACAAGTTTGGAACAAGCTGTTAACAACTTGTAACAAGCTTGATAGCATCATCAGACTTGTTACAAGGTTGTTCTAACAAGTTTTATACAGTCATGATATAACAAGATTGTTACAAGGTTGACGACACAAGTTTATAACAATATTATTATATCAACCTTGCAACAAACCTGATAATATCAACAAAGTCGTTACAAGAGTCTCGCATCTTGTAGCAAGTGTGTCCACGAGCCGTCAACAAGTTATGCTCGCACTGCTTGTCCCAAGTTGTCAACAAGTATGGAACAAGCTGTTAACAAGTTGTAACAACCTTGTTGATGTTATTAGACGTGTTGCAAGGTTGTTCCAACAAGTCCGATACAGTCGTTTGACACTGATTCGGTTATCCCGAACTGCCGCTATTTGTAACTGTTTCTGTTTCCCTTAGTTGTTTGAGATAGCGGGGCTCTGGGACTCTACGTTCACTTTAGTACCACCAAGTACTAATCATATATAGGTAGTCAAAGTATAGCTAAAGTAAAAATTGTATTTTTAGGCAAAACAGTTGTTGCACGCATTCCCACGTGATACGAGGCTGAATGATGGAAGTAAGTCTCACAAGTGTCTATTATAGTCGTCTCTTCAGGGAGAATAATTCTTCATATTCTCAATCTCTTTCAATAATTATTAAGAGGAAACTTTTTTCAATGTTGTGTATTTGCAATGAAAAGTGTTCAAAACCTAAAATCGTTTTGGCGTTCCTCTCAAAATTACTTTGTTTTAGCTTCATTTTGTAGTTTGCACAGTTGGCAACCTTTTCAAATGTATCTGGCTGTAGAGAAACATAGAATAATAGTTAAATATTGTCAATTTAAATACAATTATCATTGATGCTGTAACATTGAGTCCATATAATATAAGCAAAACTTACTGAACTTCACATATCATTTTCTCTTTTGCGTACCATCTAAAATCTCTTCATTTTAGCATTATTTTACAGATAAAGCACTAAACATACTTTTTACGTTTGTTTGCCGCTTAAAAAACGTATTGAAAAATAAAATTTTTGAATGCACACACGTAAAAAGCACAAGTTGTTACAAGTCTGCAAACAAGTTGTTACAAATCTGTTCACAAGCTGTCGACAAGTTGTGTTCGCACTGCTTGTTCCCAGTTGTTGTAACAAGTTTAGAACAAGCTGTTGACCAGGGTTCGTACGCCCCCTGGAAGTCCTGGAAAACCCTGGATTTTTATTTTAGTCCTGAAAAACCCTTGAAAATCCTGGAATTTCAAATTTATCCCTGGAAAACCCTGGAAAACTGAGAAACTGAGCTGGGTTTAGGATCATACCTAAACTATTTAAGACTATCTTAAAAAGAAAGATTGAACAAAAGGTTCTTGCATTATATATAGTCAGAGATATAGTCAAACTATGAATATATTTCGTTCAAACTGGTACAAACCCAAAAGTATCTGTGCAAGATGAAGTACTAGCCGTCGCGAACGTTTCTTATCCGTTAAACACTTATAGATTTATATTTCAAATGCCCCTGGAAAACCCCTGGAAAAAGGATGAAAAAGTCCTGGAAAACCCTGGATTTTTTAAATTATGAAGGTGTACGAACCCTGGTTAACATCTTGTAACAAGCTAGATGGCATTATCAGACTTGTGACAAGGTTGTTCTAACAAGTCTGATACAGTCATGATATAACAAGAATGTTACAAGGTTGACCAGACATGGTTGTAACAATATTGTTATTTCATGACTGTATCGGACTTGTTGGAACACCATGTAACTAGCCTGATAATATCAACACGGTTGTTAAGACTGTTAACAGCTTGTTCCAAACTTGTTGACAACTTGTGACAAGCAGTGCGAAGACAACTTGTTGACGGCTTGTTGACAAACTTCAGCGCGTGTTACGTAACATACAAAAAATTCTTCTCTTTAATTAATCATTTTCCCTCTTTTTCAGCGTTATTTTGGCAATCACCAAAACGTCCACCCACGGCTATAGTGTTTGACATAAACGATGCATTGTAAGTTAAACTGTGTTTCAATAAAATATGCCTTTGAAGTGGATTGGTAAATGTCACCGTATGGTTATAATTTTTAGACATTATTCATTCCTGGAGAGTGCAGCAAGACTACATGCCTCCGTTCACAAGATTCACTTCTCTCCTCAGGTATCGATATTAGAGAGGTTCAAATACCGTTACCTCTCACTGGCTCAGTATTCATCTGGGGCCGGTTGTATCAAAGGCGTTTAACTTAAACGGTGTTTAGCCGCTATCCAGTGTATAAATCTCTTATCCAGCGGATAGTTAAACGGCCGATAAAATTGCGTTGTATGAAGCCCGTTTAGTACCGCGTTTAACTATCCGTAGGATAACCTTTAATTTAACCGGAGAAAACCGGATTTTCTTGAAATTTCTTACCTCTACCACAGAGGATATACTACACAGAGGTGGAACTCAGCCAAAAAAGTGTAACCGGCCGCCAAAAGCTTAGCCAGTGCGCTAAAGAGAGGCATTCACCCCCCCCGAACTCAAATTTCAAGATGGCGCCCGAGTGTTTCAGAAAATAATCGGCACGAGAAACACTTGTTATTTTGCTCATAACAGTTTTCCTTTACTAAAGTTGTTATTAACATGTTTATATAATTCGTCCTTGAAAGATGTGTTGGTATGAAAAACCTTTGAAGATTATCTACCGATTTATATGGCACTATTATTCATCGTAGGAGTGGAAAATTGAAATTCCGAAATTACCGAGAAATTAATACTCATGTGAGCCATGTCTAAAGGATTTAGAAGAAATGTAAATGGTATAATAACTTATGCGCAGCTGGATATCGTTGTATTTAATATTTTGTGAAATACTTAGGCAGAAATCAGTCAAGATTTCACTATTTGAAACTATAGCCCTAATAGCCGTATCTGGCACCCTGTTTATAATAGTGATAAAAAGCATAAAATGTGAGGAATGTTGGTTTTTTACATTTCAAACACGCTATATTAAAAAAAATATGATGTACATAGTTCATAATTAACATCGTTCAGGTTGCTGTTCTTTAAATGAGTTTTGATTAGAGTTTCTGAATGAGATGCTGAAACAATGTGAAAGTTGGGTATTCTTTACTTTCATATGTTGTGATGCAACATATCGGCACATGGTGGTCAACTCTAAAAGGAAACAGTTCCTGGTGTGAGTAAATTTTTCACTATATGTCTTGACCTCATGTTTGCTGGTGAATACATGCAATTTAGCCTCATTTGCTCGCTCCCGAAGTCATTAGTGTTGATACATGTAATGTTGACCACCATGTATAACTCTATGTATAACACCTTGATGTTACCAATTGTTTACATCAGAAGGTACATATGTGCAGAACAGACTTGACCGTCTGTTCATCTCTAACCCATTGAGTCGCATTGTGCACTAATGCGCCCTATTTTATTATTTTAATCGCAGGGCCGTAGGTTCAATTCCTACCAGAGGACCTTGTGCTGCATTTTTCGCAGTCGTTCCTGGTCAGGTCTTAAAATGTATATAATCACTTGGATTACAAACCCTAACATTCTTTATTATTTTACTCTGTCTAACGCCAGATTATTTTACTCCGTCTAATGCTATACGATTTTACTTGTCAAGGGGAGAGCGCTGGCACTTAGTGGGTTAACTCGTCTATCTGCCCATGATGTGTCTAGTTAACCCATTGAGTCACATTGCACCCTACTTTATTATTTTCTGTCTAATGCCAGATGATTGTTTTGTATAATAGGTTTTATATTTGGGATTTTTTCCTCCCATGTTTTGCTCTCCCCAGGCCTAACACTATTTTGCTTGAAGCTCGACCAAAGTTTGATCATTTACAAAATGCATTTACAATACAAAACAAATAAGAGTTGAAAACCTGTTATACAAACAATACAGAGTTGCCTGCAGAGGAGGCAAAAATAGAATATGATTTATAACAGCAAATCACATTGAATTGTAGAAATCGAAGAAAAATATAACATTCAAACAATTGATGTAAACAATGTATTTTTCAGTCTTTTCAATATATCCACATTTATCAAATGTTCATATTTTACCATTATTTGTCTGACACTCCAGGGCTTAACACTGATACATGTAGGATAATCTGTGCTGAAAAAACTGGAGGTAAACAGTTGGGGGGCTGGAAAAAATTCTTCACGACCTGGCCTTTACATGCAGCTAATGTAGAATTCAATGGCTTATTATTACCTACATTACAGGAAACAAAAACTTGAATCTATAGATTCACCTCTCACACTCTGGCCTATAGCCTCACTTCTACTTCCAGGGAAAGTGAAATTGTCACACTCACACATTATTAGTTCCTTCTATGGTGCATATGGCTCAAGAATTTTAACAGTGTCAGTGAAAATGTCCAATGTTTATTCAACCATTAATTCACCCTCAACCCATGCATGTACAGGCTGAAGTTATCTGGTATGCCTATATGCACATGGGGAAAATTTTGAGTACAAAAATAAAAGGTTAACCAACAATCTTGCTAGCATTTTTAATCAATACACCCAGGGGTGAAGACCTTGGAACTTCTTAAAGAGGGACATAAAAATCCATTTCAAAGGAATGTTGTCACCCAAATATTTGGCTTAAAAACTGTATTATTTATGCATTTCCGGGGAGCTGGTTCAAAAATCTCTTGGAAAATATTTCCAGGGGAGCCAATGAAAAACATTATTTTTGGAAACTCCAGGATGTTTTGAAGGTCTTCACCCAAAATCACTACTTAAATACTGAACACTGAAAAATATTTGGGTTTTTATCAAATTTGCCAATCATCATTTGCTTCATCATAACTTGCCCAGTCTACAAATGGGAAAAATTGTTGTCAAAAATGTTGTGTCTTGGGCAGGCATTACTTATTACTTGATTAGTCTATTACAAAGCCATGGGTAGCCTGTCCTCCCATCTAGGTGCATGCTTAACATGACTGGTGCATATAGAAATTATTTTGGAAAAGAATGTCACTATATTATTTCATACATACAATAAAATAAACTAATGCACATATCAACGGCCTGCCCGGGGGGTCACCCCCGGGACAACCGGGGGGAAACGAGGGGGAATTTGGTATTTTAGCCGTGTATTCTGCCCGTGAACCCCGGGGAAATTACAAACTTCGCAATAATAGGACGACAGGGGGAGGGGAAGTGGGGGACTTTGACATGACAATTTGAATTTTATAAATGAAGTGAACAATTGGTGCAAACTCAAAATTGCAGGCTCACGAAGAAAAATATCGATCGCCAACTTATTATTTATGATATTTTGTAGTGGTCTTGCTAAAATTTGAATAAATAAATACAGAATACATGAGTGCCATTGTGATACCCCAGTTTGTATGATAATTTCAGGGTGTTAGCCAGAAAAAACCCGTTTTGTCCGTTCAACGTAAATTGGGAAATTTTTTTTTGACCGATCAAAGTCCTTGTGTAGGAATAAATAGTGTTTTTTCCAACGTGTTTCTTCTTAGATGCAAACAACAGTGGCTTGGTTTTTTCTATTTCATTTCCGGTGAATGAACACGGATGCACACCGATGCCTGCACTTTGTTTTGTACATTTCATTTCAGTGAATACCTCTATGGTGAATACACACCCAATATGAATGAAACGTGATACATTTTGAGAAAATAGTTAATGGAAAAAGTAAATAAAACGTTCTTTGATATAATAATATAAAATCAAATGCAATGCACTTTCTCATCAGAAAAAATGAAAATCTTCCAGTAGACCCAGTTGGGAAAGCCCCTTAACTACTTCAATTGGGAAGAGTCCGTCAAATGGACGGACAGTATATGGGCTAGCTAACACCCTGAATTTTTAATTGTTTGTATGCTATTTATAATATGAACTACTTTATTCTAAGCCCCAGGAGGGAGGGCAGTTTGACTTACACATTTCCCGGGGGAGGGAGGGGGAATTAATGCATTAGAATCATGTTTTTTCAAAGTCCCGGGGTGTCCCGGGGGTGTACCCCCAGGGCAGGCCGTTGATATGTGCATAAGCATCAGTTAAATTCCAATTATTATTAGCATTCACAAACAACAGTGTTACTACAGCCAAAATAGCAACAAAATATATAAATCACAGACAAAATATATAAATCACAGACACAGCTGATTGAGCTGAATGCTTATAAATGGAACTACTGAACTTATAATAGTGAACTACAGTACATACAAGTATACAACTGTAAAATATCAGTAAAAAGTTGTAAAAACAGATTATGTCATTAACTATATTCTGAATTCGTAACCCTCTGCACTCTTAATTCCTGACTATCAGACAAATAGCAAAAAATAGCATGAATGTGTTATTGTTAAGTTTTTAATAGTCAAAAGATTCACACCGTACCTTAAGATAGAAAACTTTTGCCGTTTGTCAACCAAATTCTTTGTCAAGCAAAGCTTCTTCCTTTCCACAAAAGATCCACGATATTTTGCACAAATTTACAGGTATATTAAAGCTAAACTAGCCAAGCAGGCTAAGCCCATAAACCAAAATATGGCAAAATATTTACAATTCCCGCTCATATGAAAACAATTTTGTTGAAAAAAAAGAAAAAGAAACTGCAAATCTCTCCCAGATTTACCTCTTCCCATAGGCAAACTTGAAAACAAAAATAATTCAACAAAAATCAGTGAGATTTCAAACAATATCCTTGATTTCGAAACAATTTTTTGCGATCTTTTCAGTAAAAAATGCCCGCCATTTTGTAAGTTTTCGGGGGGGTGAATGCCTCTCCTTAGCGCACTGGCTAAGCTTTTGGTTACACTCAAACATTAGCGTTTCGTAATACAGTTACACCTCTGTCCAGTATCTACTCTGTGCCTCTACGTCAGCTGTTGCTAGGCCTTTGTAAACTTTTGAAGCTTTATCTAACTTGTGAATTCCACTAAGCTTTTGCAATAAAGTTTGTTGTTGTTTCTATTTGGAGTTTGCTCGTCCATTCGTTGCTGCAAATCTATATCAAAATTTTCATTTTCACATTGTGCTGAGTTTCTCATTCACTTAAATTCACTTACGGATATTTCTTTAAAGATTTTTGGCTTCTTATGCGAAGAGTCGAAGGCAATAGCAAAAATTGTGAGTTGTATTTGGCTTTTGTCAGTTGATTCAGTTTTATACTGTTTGAAATTTGTTCCTCGACCTTGCACTTTTGTTCAAAACAATTTTAAGAACATTTTGAACCACGTTTTGATTGGCTGATTAACGCGAGCGAACAATTTTTTTTCGACTTTCGGCGTCTTGTTGTCTATTTTGTATACTTGTTGGCTTTCCAAAATCATTGTTTGTTTTACAATAGCTAAAATTGCGAGTCTTACTGCTTGTTTTCAAACTATATAATAAAAGAAAAGAAGAAGAAAAAGCCAGAGTATATATACTTAACATCTAAACATGACACTGGTGTGCGTAAATATAGCAAAGCCATGGAATTACAAGTGAGCAAGTGACCTCAGTGTACCTCAAGACCAAGCCAGTTAAAAGTGAGTTTTTCATGTTTATTGGATTTAAAAAGATAACTCCTCTACATGATTGTACATTTTTATAACTATCCTATGCTTTTTCATCCGAAATAATCATTGTTTTATCTTCAAACTCCGAGTTTATCCGCCGTATAGCGATTTAAACGGTCTCAAGAGACCGTATAAGTTTACACGGTGGATAGGCAAAATTTAACCGGTGGATAGCGCTAAACGGGCTTGATACAACGCGATTTCTCGAGCGTTTAAATTTTATCCGGCGGATAGCGAGTTAAACGGTGGTTAGCGAGTTAAACGCCTTTGATACAACCGGCCCCAGATTGGTTAATCGGCTATACACGTAAAAACCATAGAAATAAATCTATTCTATGGCAAAAACAAACGCACAACTTGTAACAAACCTGTAGCAGACTTGTAGCAATGCTGTTCCAACAACTTGTCATCAGGATGTGTTCGCACTGCTTGTTCCCAGCTTGTTGACAAGTTCTCCACGGCTTGTTGACAACTTGCTACAAGATTGTTGAGCTCAACAGACTTGTTACAAGTTGTTCCAACAACTTGTTATCGTCCTGCAATTCAACAATTTGTCAACAAGTTGTGAGTGACAACCTTGTAGCAACTTGATAAAATAACAGCATTGTTAGAACTTGTTGACAAGCTTGCTACAAGCCTGTTGCGAACACATCTTGTTGACAAGTTGTGAGATTTTCACATGTGTAGATTAAACGCACCTGATTGGTCAATGATAGCGGTAGTGAAAGTCAAATCTGTATACCTATTTTTATACATGCAACTTTTTGGCCGCGGTCAAAAAATTTGATTTATTGTTATGGTTGATGGAACAACGGAAGCCTTATTAATTTGATCTATTTTTGACAGGATTTAACCAAGGAAAGTTTAATGCAGATTCTTCGTGATGTCCACGTTCCGGAGTTCACTCCATCGAATAAGGTGCTTGTTAAAGTTTGTCTTTCAGCCTAAGAGAAATGTTTTATTGTTTTTCTTAATAAACATTTTGCTGATCCAAGTCCAACCATTAAAAAGTCAAACTTTTTTACCCATGCAACCTCAACTATCAAATAAAAAATAAATACCCACCCCTGGCCAAAGACGTTACAAAAGATAACATTTAGTTGTCACACATGTCCTTTACCACTTCTGTGACACGAGTTTGATAACTGCATGGATAATAAAATAAATGGATAGGAAACTAGCTGACGTGACCTAATGTTTTTACTGGGATTGATGGCGTGGTTGGATGCCTCAACCTAGTTGCAAACCAAATTCTCAAAAACGGCATGTTTAGCAATAATACAGCTAAACATTTTAGTCAAAGAGCAAATAAATGTAACCACGCCATTCTACGATGAAAACTCTAAGTATTCCCAGTCAATTTTAGCAAATATCTCAAGCACTAAACAGTGAAAAATACATCGCAAATTTCGTTAAAATTTGTGACGCCAATTTCGTAGCTACAAATGTAAAAAAATACAAAACAAAGACGAAAAACATTTACCTTGAATACTTTGTCGTGGCTTAGGCATGTTTTTAAAACAATTAGACCAGTTTACGCTTCAAGATCACCCTTTTAAAGTGGAAAATATAGCAAAACAACAAATATGCCGAGAACTTTGGTAACATTCGCAATACGCGTGACGTCACGTTTTTCAACAAGGATGCAGTCAATGACGTCAGAAGTTTCCAATCCATTTATTTTATTATCCATGATAACTGCTTGTGCAATTTTCTGCAGTCTAAAGTTTCCATGATGATTGATTCACCATGATGATTGATTGATCAAATGATCAGGATAGTGACTGTGATTGATTTACAAGGATGGGTTGACTACAAAATTTTTGTAGTTCGCTATAACTACAGCTACTGCAAAAATATGTAGTCAGCTACAACTACTGCTACTTTTGAACAAAGGTAGTTCGATACTGACTACAGCTACTGCTTAAAAAATGTAGCGAACTATTTCGCTATTTCGCTACGCTATATTTTTTAGTTTTACTATATTTGGAGCATCTACTAACTCAGGCTGTAATGTAACCTATAACAAATCGACTTACGAGTAGCAACAGTAAACACAAAGCAACATTTTTGTAAGCACTATAGCACAGACTATAGTGTTCGGGAGTGCAAATTGACTATTGAGGATTGATTTTAAGCAAACCGTGTCTCAATATCATGCTATTCTATCAAGTTGCTAACAATTTTAAAATGTAGCGGATAGCAATTCGCTGTTTGAAAAGTAGTCAACTACTTGCTACTTTTAGGCAAAATGTAGTTCGCTATAACTACAGCTACTGTTTTAAAAAAGTAGTAAAAAACTACTGGCTACTTGAAAATTGTAGTTCGCTACAGTAGCGAACTACAACTACTTCGCTACTACCCACCCTTGTTGATTTACATATTGTATTGACATTTGACTGTTGACATTGCTTTTTAGTCTTCAATATTTGAAAGTGCGAAAACATTTTGTTGATAAGCTGCGAGATTTTTGCGCTTGCAAACCGTGGGGCATGCTCAGAATTTTACTTCGACTGCTTTTTAGCAAAAATTGCCCCGTGTAACATTGCCTTAAGATAATTTATTTTCTCCATGGAATTGTTCTGGTAATTTATTTATCCATCTTTTTCCTTGAGAATTTTTCCCATCATCTTCCGTTTTTTACTAAAGTAGAATGTTCTCTTTTTCTATTTCTAGACCATTGACGTTGACGAAAGCGAGCAGAAACCGTCAGAAAAAGTTGAAGACGAAGACGTTTTGCTACAAGCTTGCAAATTTTTAGTACATTTTCTAAGTTCACAAGGTTTTGATAAAGGTATATGGTTTTGGCCTCAAGTAGTTTATGAAATGATATGACCACGTTTGCATGTAGCAAGGCAGCATTTGAAGGGTTTAAGAAGCAGATACTTCAGTTTGAGCGGCGAGTGTATGGCTCTCAAGGAGCTCTGATGGGGCAAGTTTTTCCGTTCTCCTTGTATTTTTTAGGTAGTTGTATCCCCATCAATCAGTAACTCTCTTGTTATCGTTGCAAAACCTACACACGTAAAAACACACAAGTTGTTGCAGGTCTGCAAACAAGTTGTTACAAATCTGTTCACAAGCTGTCGACAAGTTGTCTTCGCACTGCTTGTTCCCAGTTGTTGTAACAAGTTTGGAACAAGCTGTTAACAATTTGTAACAAGCTTGATGGCATTATCAGACTTGTTACAAGGTTGTTCTAACAAGTCTGATACAGTCATGATATAACAAGGATGTTACAAGGTTGACGACACAAGGTCGTAACAATATTGCTATATCATGACTGTATCGGACTTGTTGGAACAACCTTGCAAGTTGGAACAAGTCTGATAATATCTACAAGGTTGTTACAAATTGTTAACAGCTTGTTCCAAACTTGTTAACAACTTGTAACAAGCTTGATGGCATTATCAGACTTGTTACAGGGTTGTTCTAACAAGTCTGGTAGACTGATACAGTCATGATATAACAAGAGTAACAATTCTAACAATATTGTTATATCATGACTGTATCGGACTTGTTGGAACAACCTTGCAACAAGTCTGATAATGCCATCAAGCTTGTTACAAGTTGTTAACAGCTTGTTCCAAACTTGTTGACAACTTGGGCACAGGCAGTGCGACAACTTGTTGACAGCTTGTTGCCAGACTTGCTACAAGATGTGAGATTTTTGCGTGTGTACACTGGCAGAGAGCGTGCTTTTTTTATATTTCTCTTTCCTCACGAGTTAATCTATTTTCTGTTTCAGCAATGCTATCACAGTCACCGTTGGAATTTGAAAAAGATGACGATAGTAATGGACACATAGACTATATTACTGCTTGCTCGGTATGTTTATAGTGAGCGGTTGTGTTGATCTGACCTTATGCTATACAGGTTGTACACACGTAAAAATCACACAACTTGTCAACAAGATGTGTTCGCAACAGGCTTGTAGCAAGCTTGTCAACAAGTTATAACAATGCTGTTATTTTATCAAGTTGCTACAAGGTTGTCACTCACAACTTGTTATGAAGTTGTTGAATTGCATGGCGATATAACAAGTTGTTAGAACAACTTGTAACAAGTCTGTTGTGCTCAACAATCTTCTAGCAAGTTGTAAGTTGTTAACAGGCCGTTGATAACTTGTCAACAAGCTGGGAACAAGCAATGCGAACACATCCTGTTGGCAAGTTGTTGGAATAGCATTGCTACAAGTCTGCTGCAGGTTTTTTGAAGTTGCGGCCAGATTTGGTTCCGACTGAAGGCTAAAATATTGCTTCAAATGTACACCTAGATTAAATGGGAGAGCTACATTAGTATACGAACCTCACATGGTTTAAATGATGTGTTGTTCTCTTAGAATCTTCGCGCAACGATGTACAATATTGAAAATGCTGATCGTTTTAAAACAAAGAAGATTGCTGGGCGGATTGTTCCTGCCATTGCAACGACAACTGCTGCCGTGTCTGGTCTGGTAAGGAATGCTTAGTTAATATACATTGACAAAGCAAACCTCCTCTGCCCCCCCCCCCCGCCACCCCCGTTCAACATTGTGAACAACCCCGAAACAACTCACAGTAACTTACCATGACACAAGCTCAACATTGAGTTGGGCAGGGGGGGGAGGTTAAGGAGGGCCAACATAACTGTACAGATAATTTATCATGAGGGGTTTGCGGATTTTGTTTATGGGAGAAGATTGCAGCTGACGTCACACAGTAGATTAAACTCCATTGTACTTTCAACGGTTTATGAATGATATTTTTTCTTTGTTCAGGTGACCATCGAATTAATGAAAGTAATTAAAGACAGTCCGTTTGACGATTATCGAAACTGCTTTCTCAATCTCGCTCTACCTGTGTTTGTATTTTCTCAGCCAGCACCAGCCACACGTACTGTCATTAGGTATGTTGTTAGGTAGGGCTTTCTTGCTGTTTAGATTAGCATAATTTGGACACAAATTTTGCCCGAGTCGAAGGTTACAAAGGGCTGCCACCATACGAGGGTCTATTGAGTTGTATTTTTAGGTCTGAAAACTGTATAAAATTCACATCGAAATTTTCAGTAAAGCAATGACACAGAATAAATATCATATAAATACCATACCATATAACGCATTTAAAGAGGTAGACCAGATCTAGATACTCGTAGCCGCACGATTCGTAAAGTAATCAACAATTATCCGATCTGTGGACCAGAAAATATTCAATATTTTCGAATAGGGATGGTTTGTCGTTCACATTGTGGGATAGATGGGAAGTTCATGGAAATAAAACGTTCACACTGAAAGATTTTATCAAACACTTTAAGGTAACTACATACTTGTATTTACATTCTTGTTAATGATCATTTTTCTTGTCCGGCACCTTCGCTCTCCTTTTAGCAGCGCAACCTAGATGTATATTTGCACTTTTTTAGGACAAATACAATTTTGAAACGACTCTTGTCTCAGTTGGTGTGAAAATGCTGTATATGCCGATACTGCCAGGACATATGAAACGTCCTAAACAAACGTAAGTTTTTTTCTGTGTTGGTGATTTGTGTTGGTGCAATGTACTCAGGTGAATATGATGCTTGTGATGTTACTCTGGGCTAGTATTCCAAAGGTCGTAGGTTCGATTCCCACCGTGGTCAGGCATATTTTTCAAGCTTGCCCGGTGTGGATATACACTCAGAGTAACATCACAAGCATCAAACGTAAGTTGCTTAAGTAATACATACAGCCGTATTGCATCAGATATCATAAACTGGAGCCGAAGGCGAGAGGTGTATGCGGTCTAATACAATTAACCCGGACTTCAACAGTTATATTTTCAAATAAATTTTTCAACAAGAAGTGATTTTAACTGAGAAATCGAGGGAAAAGTTTGTGCAAATAAGGAGCCGAATTTGTATATGTGGATACATCAGCTCATTAAACATTGATTTCATTTTCTTCTATTTTGTACACAGAATGCTGAAGTTGGTGAATCCTGCACCAGAATCAAAATACGTCGATCTTATTGTGTCCTTCACTGAAGAAGGAAAGTCAGACGAAGACGAAGACCTACCAGCTCCCCCTGTTCGATACTATTTTGGTAACTGAAGACAACCCCTCCCCCCCC